GATTCACCTAACAGCCAGGTTTTTACAATGAGTACATACCTTATTCTTTTTTTTTTTTTTACTCTGATAGGAGCACTTTCTTTTTTTTAAATTTTTTAATTTTAATTTTAAATAGCTTGTTTTACATGTCAATCCCAGTTCCCTCCCCTCCTCCCGTACTCCCCCATCCCCCCAGCCTCACACCCTATGGGAGCTGGGAAGAAGAGAGGGGGAGAAGAGGAAGAGAGAGTAGGTCATGGGGAAACAGGAAGGTTGAGTGGGGGGGTAGAATAGGGGAAACAGGGAGTCATAGGTTAGAAGACAGATCAGGCACCAGAGTGACCTCTAGTGATCTAAAGGGATGACACCAATTGGCAAGCTAAGCAATAGTGGAGAGACCACCTCGAATGCCCATTCCTGATAATGAACTTGATGTCTATAACCATCCGGGAGCCTTCATCCAGTGACTGATGGAAGCAGAGGCAAACACCCACAATTAAGCACTGAACTGAACCCAAGGAACCCAGTGACAGAGAGAGAGGAGTGATGAGCAAATTGGCAAAGAATGGGCTGGCAAAACCAGGAGAGACAGCTGATCTGAACAGGGGAGAGCTCTTCGACCCCAGACTGACAGCTGGGAGGCCAGCATAGGACTGATCTGGACCCCCCAAATGTGAGTGTCAGTGAGAAGGCCTGGGCAACCTATGGGGCCCTGAGCAGTGGATCAGTGTCTATCCCTGGAATACAAACAGTCATCGTGTGCCCATAGCACAAAGAGGGATGCTCCCTCAGCCTGGACTTTTAGGGGAGTGCCTGGACTCTACCCTGAGTGAAATGACATACCTTATTCTTATTGTTAGTTGAAAACTTTGTAAGTAAGTGTTCTTTTCCAAACACATTATTTTATTGAATGGTTACAAAGTTACCAGTGTTGTATCTCTTCAATTGTAGCCTTTCATTTATTTCAAAATTCATATCAATTTTCTAGTAACTTTGGCAGTTTTTAATATTTTATATTTATTTTTCTCTCTGCACACACACACACACACACACACACACACACACACACACACACACACACACACACACACACAGCTTTACCAGGTGGGTTCTGAAAATCAAATTCAGAAATTCAGGTTGTCAGGTTTAACAACAGGTGTCCTTCCACTCTAAGCGATCTTAATGACCTTTGGCTAGCAAAATTACTTTTGCTTCTAGATCCTTTGTTGCCTGAAAAATGATGATTATTAACGGCACAACCTTTTTCTAGATACTGTAATTTTACTCTGGTAAGAAATATGTCAGCCAATGCCTACAAATATGTCTAAATTTTGTGAAGTCCTTTCTTTCCTTATGGTTTTGGGGATGATTTGAAGAAATCTTCTGCATATGATATGCTCCTAATTTAGCTGCAAATCTTGTGTACTTGCCTATAAGTTTATAATATACTTACTAAGAATTTTTTAAAAAATCTGTATGACTAGTGCTTACTGGACTGAAATTTGAAATCATTGGATCAAAGACATGATAAAGCACCATGAAAAGTACCATGCAGTAGTGGTGCATGTCTTTAATTCCAGCACTCAGGAGGCAGAGGCAGACAGATCTCTGTGAGTATGAGACCAGCCTGGTCTACAAGAGCTAGTTCCAAGACAGGCTCCAAAGCTACACAGAGAAACCCTGTCTTGAAAAACTAAAAAACAAACAAACAAACAAACGGCCATGAAAAGCTATTAATGGGATGCACATTTTGAAGAGATAGCTCTGACAAATGACCAAGTATTCCTGTAGCTGTTCAAGTCTATACGCTCATGTGTTCCAACCTCCATTTCATTATTCATATATGTCACACCCCGTCCATGTTATTCACCTCATCTTCATTTATCCATTTACCTACAGCTCCCTTGCTTCACTTCCAAGCTTTGTAATACTGTGAAAACCTTTCCAAAATATTATTGCCATTATGTTATACATTTCCTGCTAGAAAATGTAGACTGCCTTTTCAGTGAAAAATAACAAGTTGAATAATAAAGAACAGGCTGAAGGTTTAAATTTTAAATCTTGTCCATGCCACAAAGGCCATAGTAAGTAAATTTTGGAATTTCTCAGAAAAGATTCCACTTGCTACATGTGTGGTTTTAGAAATTTACTCAGTTAACCTTATGATCTCTCCTTATCGATGTAATATGGCAAATACTACCTGTCAGGATTTCTTAGTTATAAACAACATTAACATGAGTAAGTTTTTGCCTGCATATGTTACAAAATGAAAACACTAATCAAATTGATTTCTACTTTACTTTTGCTAGCTCCAATTATGAACTGAAGAACTCAAACTTATACTATCATATTTTATTAGGCTAGTTACTGTGAATTAGCCTTTATAATCTGGTTACTGCTTGTATAATGATAAGATTGTAGATACTGTTTCCACGGAAGGTAGTAAATATTATCTTTACATGAAAAAATCATGGAGAGGACATCATCAGTTTGTAATAAATAAAACAATCATGATATCAAGTCTGAAATAAACTGGAACTTCATTTATTGTCAATTTAATTAATTGGTATTTTTCTACAGTAAGGTAGTCTCTGATCATAATCTCGCTGGACTATTGTCAGAAGAAAATGTATACTATGAGATAGATAAATATCTAGCATTCTTTTACAAAATAGATGTCCACTATGCATGTAAAGCATGATTTAAGTGCTTAGTCAATGGCTATAATCCCAACACTGAGGTGACTGAGATAGGAGGTTCACAAGTTCACAGCTCGTCTGACTGAATAGAAAGATACTGTTTAAAAAAAAACAGCCAACCAACTAACCAAACAAACAAAAACTAGAGAAATGAAAAAATTATAATGAATCACTGGGGGTTATGCTGAATTATTCATATGAACTAATGGGTCTTTGGTGCTGTCTGGAATTTCTTCTCCACTCCTCTGCCCTTCCCTCCCCTCCCCTCTCATCTTTCCGTCTCTCCTCTCCCCGTCTCTCTTTTTTCCTGCATACACATGTAAGCAGAAATATATCTATACATACACCCAGGGTGACCTGAAATTCATTATGTATTTCATGGTAACCTTGAATATAATACACCTGCTTTGGCCTCCACATGGTAGGATTACATTAGTGTTCTATTATGTTTATCTTATAAGCTGAAAAAGAGAGGACTCTGACTTATGCTACCATAGTTTGTTATGCTAGCTAGCATGAACTAGCCCTCATAATACTGGTTACTACTGGCACACTGATAAGATCTTAGATAAATGTCTCCATGGAAGAAAGCAAACATTATGTCTACATAAATGTTCATGTTTATTGTAACATTCAGCTGTTTGTAAGCAATAAAACAACTATTTGATGTGAGAGAATATTATTTTCTCTTTTCTTTATAATTTTAGTAAAAATTACTGTATGATAATAGTCTCACACTATATAATAATACCTAGATGGAATTCAAGATTCTGTGTGTGTGTGTGTGCGTGTGTGCATGTTTGTGTGTGTGTGTGTGTGTGTGTGTGTGCCCGCGTGCATGTAAACCTCCCCTACTCATTAGCAGAAGTGACTAATAGTACTGGTGCCAAGGATCTGCCAGGGAAAAACTACCACCTCTTCAATAATCGAAGTCTGCCATCTCCGGAAACTAGATTAATCACTTCTGAACAACTCTCTAAGAAAAATCTCATACCTCTGCAACCCCAACCTCTCCAATTCCACTTCACAAAACACATAGCCATGTAACCTTTGAATTCCTGCTTCTCCTGTCACTCCCCGACACATGATATGTCTTCAATAACCTACTTCCTGAAAGTCCATGCTCCCTTCCTCACATCCTGCTACACAATCTTCCCTATCTACCTTTCTGAAAATGGCTTCTCCTACTCATATATTACTGCCACCTTCACTTCTGAAGCATTGTACCCATTAAGACACCCTGCTAGAAATCCCTGATCACACCCTTCCAGAATCCTTTAAACATAATTCTGTGGAAATAACTCAAGTATCAAATCTACAATTCCTGTAACCTATCGGTGGCCCTCGTATTTTTATTTTCCCACCCCAAGAAACATTTGCCATCCTGGACACCTGTCTCCCAGAATGTCCCCCTCCACACCACATGAACCCTTAATTCTGGAAAGAACCTCCTCCTCAATCCATCAGCTCACACATTTTGTAGCATCTAATGATTCTTAAGCCCCACATTCCTAGCATTCCTTCCACTCTGGTAACTCTGCACATTGCCATGGCATTCCATCACTGGGAGTAGGGGCTCAAGAGGCCCTGCCCCCTGTGAATTTGTAGGAAGTTTAACAGTTGCTATGAGAAAATGAAACATTTTCTCTAGTGGAGTATATCCTGGTAAGTTACTCATTCTATAAATAATCCTTCAATCACACTCCTGTAAGCAATCCTAACTAAACTTACTGGGTAACAAAACCAAAAAGGCTTAAAAGTAGAAGTAAACTAGTTGCGAAGTAGAAAGGGGTAAGAGAGGGAATAGAAGGGGGCAAGAGTGTACATTGTATAATCAAAATACATAAAATGAATTCATGAAAATATAATAATGAGATCCATCATTATGTATAAGTAATTTAAACTAATAAAAACTTTAAAGATACCTATAATATTTTATTGCTTTCTTAATTTTAAAGCATTATAGAAATTTAATGTGGACATGTATAAGATTGATGATAGAGGAGTTTTCATGAGTCAAGGAAAAGAAATATATTAGGTAAACAAGTATGGGAAGAAAGCATGAGGATTGGAAGTAATTTTTATTTGTTTATAGTAGGACATACACAAATGAATAAGTGACTAATACTGAGACAGCACTCATCCACAGTTTTCAAGGGTTTATCTGAATTAAAGAACATTTTTCCTAGTCAGCATTCTTCATCAATTTTAGTTATAATTGTTGTTACTTTAAGTTTTCATTCTATAACCTAAATCTTATTGCCAAGCTACCATAATGACTTTAATAAATCTCATTTCTTTTACATATGTTAAATCGAAAAGAACATGAAAAGGAATTTGGAAGGAAAAATCTGGAAAGGTGATAGAAAAAAGAAGTGTGTGCTCTCCCAGATTCCAAATTAGGTAAGTAATTGAAAAAGAGGGAATGATGTACTTACTGTCGTGTCGTGCTGATTGAAGCTAAGGAGAAGTGTAAGTCTGATCAAGTCATTGCTAAAATAGACAACAGAAGTTGCTCCTCATACTGGGTTGCCTTGTCAGCCTTCATAGTAGGGAGGTGCTTAGTCTTACTACAACTTGATATGCCATGTTCTGTTGATACTTATGGGACACTTGCCCTTTCCTAAACAGGAACAAAGGAAGAGTGGATTAGAGGGTGGGAACAGATAAAATTGGGGTGAGACTGGGAGGAGAGGAGCAAAGTGAAACAGCAGTCAGGGTGCAAAAAATGAATGAATAAATGAATGAATGAATGATAAATACATAAACATTGGCTGAGGAAAATTTAAAAATAGCCAATATTTAAATGCTTTATGTATTAAAATAAAATGTATAAAATCCTATCAAAGTATGAGACCTGACTTTTTTTAAAGGTTATAAAAAAGGCTTCTCTAAATAAACACAGTTAAGTTGTACTTACAAAAGAAAACACTATGTGCAAATGCCATGGATAGAATGAATATGGTATATCTGAAATAGTGATGGAAGGCCATTGATATGGAAATACAGAGAAAGGGAAGGATAAGTATGTTAAAAGGAAAGGTAGAAGAGAAACAGAATGAGGAAGTTGTTCAGACTAGAGATTATAAACTCAGTGGAGGATTTTTGATTGTTTGCTAAGAGCCATGAAGGTCTTTGTAATTTTTGAGCTCGCGGAAAGTAAACTAACTAAAACTAAAAAGTACAAAGTAGAAGAGTTAGGAAGAAATATTGAAAGGTTAAATGTGTAGCCATTATTGATGATGCTGCAGCAATGAATTTCTTACCAAGAAGTTTTACAATTTCATGAACAATTATTTTGTGATGAACTATTTTTTTCAGTATTAGCAAGCAACTATGAGATTTTTTCCCAACTACTCAAATCTCACTAAACAGATTTGTAGAGATGATAAAAACAAATTATTATGGTTATCAGTAAGCATCCTCTAGTGGTTTTTTTCCTCTCTTAATATATAATATGTCTCATAGCTTTTAATGTTTTAAATGATATTACGGTTATATATGCACTATCTAAAGTCATAAAGTTTTAATATTTTACTCATATGTACTTTTATCACATCAAATTAAAAAGAAACCATGACATTAATTATATCTATTTAAATATTTCCTTTCTGAAATAGCCCTCTTTTCTGTATGTAATTATTTGTTTCACAGAATATCCCTACATTCTGTATTTGGGTATTTCCTTACTACATCATTTAAGTTGTTCCTCTTTCTAATTTCCATGATACATCCTGATTATTTTCTGACACAGCACAGGTTCCATTTATTTATTACATATTTTATGCAACTCCCAGTTTTTCTAAATTTGTTCCTTCCTTTAAAAGTTAAGCCCCCAAGTTCTGATTGCCTGCTTTGAAATACACAATTGACTTTGGGACAACTTGTTTTCCATTTTAAAATGATTATGGTTGTATTTAAGTCCCATAATCATGATTCATTTTTAAGGTAGTAATTCTGATGAAAAGCAAATTGTCCTCCACATTAGTTGGTTATAAAACTTTAAAGTGTTTCTCTATTTTTCCCCTTTGGCTTTTGAGAAAAATCTGTTGCTACATAGTGCAGACTAAGCTGGAACTCCCTAAGGAGATGAAACTTGCCTTGACATCTATAAGCCTACTCTCCTACATGCTAGAATTGCAGGTTTGTGCTGCCACACTTTGCTACATGTTTGCCTATTTTGTTCAATTATTGAATTTATTCTGATGAGGAGGAAATTTATATTGACACTTTTTGGAAGCCATGGAGCAAATAAAATATAAGAGTTTTATAGAGGTGCTTATTTACAGTAGTAAATAACGTATATGTGTGCTCACATTTATTGTTGTTGCTGAATTAGAATTTAAAATTTATTACATAAAGGAAAATAAGCTGAATTCTTTTTTTATTTCTCAAAGAATCTTATTTTACATACCAATCCCAGCTGCCTCTCCCTCCTATCCTCACACTACCCCTACCATCTTCCCACTCTACCCTCTATCTATTCCACAGAGAAGGTGAGGCCTCTCATGGGGAATCATCAAAGTCTGTCACATCATTTTGGGCAGGACAAAGACCCTCCCCCATCTATCTAGGCTGAGCAAGTATCCCTCCATAGGGAATGGCCTCCAAAAAGCCACTTCATGTACAAGGGATAATTACTGGTTCCTCTGTCAGTGACCATATAAAATTCTCAAGCCCCCTTCGCAATTGTGAACCACATTTAGGGAGCCTAGTTCAGTGTTATGCAGGCTCCCCAACTGTTAGGCTGGAGTCAGTGAGGTCACAATTGATTGGGTCAACTATCTATGTGGGTTTGCCTATCATGGTCTTTATCCCTTGGCTCAAGTTATCGTTCCTCCCTCTCTACAACTGGACTCCAGGAGTTTGGCCCATTGCTTAGCTGTAGATCTCTGTATCTGCTTCCATCAGTTACTGGATGAAAGCTCTGTGATGACAATTAGGGTGTTCATTAATCATATTATAGGGGAAGGGCAGTTAAGGTATCCTCTCCACTATTGCTTAGATTTTTCATTAGGGTCATGCTTATGGATTCTTTGGAATTATGGAGGTTTCTCAGAAAATTGGGAATCTACTTCAAGAACCACCAAGATCATTCATAGGCATATACCCGAAGGATAAGCACTCATACAACAAAGATATTTCTTCAACTACGTTCATAGCAGCAATATTTGTAATAGTCAAAACCTAGAAGCACCTAGATGCCTCTCAACCAAAGAATGTAGTTTAAAAATGTGGTTATATATCCAATGGAGAACTACTCATTGTTAAAAAAAACATTGACATCTTGAATTGGGCGGAACTAGAAGAAACCATCCTGAGTGACATAACCCAGACACAGAAAGACAAGCAATATATATACTCACTCATAAGTGGCTATTAGACCTAAAGCAAAAGATAACTAGGCTACTCTCCATAAAGCCAGAGAAGCCATGAAACAAGGAGGACTCTAAGACGAACATACATGGACCTCCTCCCTCAAGAAGGGTAAAGGGACAAGACTTCCTGAGTAAATTGGGAATGTGGGGGTGGTGGAGGGTAGTAGGAACATGCAGAGGGGAAAAAGGAAGGACAGAGGAGAACATGAGGTATAAGGAAGGTTGAGTTAGGGAAAGACAGAGGGAGAGCAATGTAAGAGATACCTTGATAGCGGGAACCAGTGTGGGGTTAATGAGAAGCCTGGCACTAGGGAAATTCTCAGGAAAAGATGTTACATTCTTAAATTATTACCCAAAGGAAAAGAAGTTCCTGAGATTATGGTAAACATGAAGTCACTGAGATCTTCATATCTTTTATTCTGGCAACTATATAGGCAGGTTAGTTCAATGTTAGTCAAATGATGAAAAGTATTACAAGGGATATGTAAAACAGCTGACATCTCACTTTGGAACTTTACTATGTGTATTTGTTACAATGTAGTGGCTTATGCTTTAGATCCTTAGGGACTGTCAATCTAATGAGGCAAAAGAAAAATTCAAATAATAATCTACAGGTAAAAATGGCAGAAAAATATTGCTTTGCTGAATAGTAGATAAAAGTAGTAATCCAGAATACAAAAGGAAGAAATATTTGGTAGAGGCTATAGATTATTAAGACAGAATTAGATAGTTATAATTTCCTTTTTGTTGATTAAACCAACACTATTACCTAACCATCAATTTTCTCATGGGTATAAAGATAAGTGCATACTTGAATCAGTATAGTTTTACAGTATTACCAAATTGAATAAGGAAGGAAAGACTTTAAATGTAATGAATGGTGTTTTATCTATCTCCTTCCAACACCAAAATATCCAGAGTGTTGTAAAAGTAAGTTGTAAATAGCCACCTGACAATGCAGAACAATTCATCGCCTAATTTAGCCTTAAGTATCATATCTGTGCTTCCATACCACTGAAATTTTTTGCTATGAATATCTGTAATTTTAGATTTATTTGAAAAATATTTGCTTTAAGATGTCTTAATGTATAGAAATTGATTTCATCAGATAATTTATATTTTGCTTTTATTAAACTGTCTCCTACCATCTCAAGGAAATATATGACTTCTTACATGAATACCAGGTGCAATATACATCTACAAATAACACAGGCACTCTTCTATTTATAACATTTCTACACTGCAGACTTTAAATCACACTGCTAAAGGGCTAGTCTTGCTTTATCCCTTACTATTTATGGGAATTTGGACACATTACTTAGCCTTTCTGAGACTTTTTTCACTGTTCAATTAAGAAAAAGAGTAATAATCAATCTATAGATTTATTGAAAGTGAAATGAGACAATACATACAAACCACTCAGAACAGTGCCTGCTCACCATGAATATTGAGAGTTGCTACCATTATATATGATTGATGATAAATGTCTTAAGTATATCATCTCTACATTTATATAAGCATTTTCAATTTTCAAACTAATCCCAAGGAGTATTTTACCTGAACATTGGGACAGTGTAAAAATAATTATCCCTATGTGAATTCCATTTCAGAAAATAAAATGGAGAGAAGTTATGTGATTTGACTGTGAGCACTCAGCAGTGAACAGAACACCTAGGCCATCATATGATATGAAGTATCTATCTTAAGATGCTTTAGGTTAGTGTTCTCAATTTGCAGCTTTCTTTCTTCCCCTGAGGATGAACACTAAATGATCTCTTTGTATAATTTTTCAAACTAGGCTAGACATGCAAATGCTGTTCCTCTTTCTTCTGTCATAAAAAGTGATATTAATACAAGCTTCATAGTTTATTATGCTTATGAATATATTGTACCATTACTTTTAGTAGCTATCTATAATTAAATCGTTATCACATTGATATGTTGTGGACCTTAAAATTTAAGTAAATGTGCATATGTTGTCATTATTAGCATGAGAAGGCCTGTGGCATATAAATATGCACAGCT